GAATATGGGTTAGCGGGTCCTGGTGAGCATCTAAGTCGACATTTTCGGTCTCACTGAATTTACATTAATACATACTGTGTTTTGATGATGGTGCTGTGTAAAGATACCTTACTATATATATGTATGTGTATTACTATACACACCCCACACAACACAAACATTTAATATATATAATATTTTTTGCAGGAACGAGTTTCTTGCTTCTTGTTTTGCCGGCTGGATTGCAGTGGACGATCTCTTGGGTCACTGCTAACCTCTGCCTTCCTGGGGTTGAAGCGATTTTCTCCTTGCCTCGGGCCTCCCGAGTATCTGGGGTTACTGCACACCACCACCATTGGCCCGGGTAACTTTTTTTTTTTTATGAAGACTCAGTTCTCCTCTGTCGGCGCGGCTGGAGTGCAGTGGTGCGATCTCAGCTCGCTTTGCAGCTCGCCTCCCCGGATTTCACGCTTCTTTGTTCTTGTCTCAGCCTCCCGAGTAGCTAGGACTACAGGCGCCCGCCACCTCGCCCGGCTAATTTCTTTTTGTATTTTTACTAGAGATGGAGTTTCACCGTGTTAGCCAGGATGGCCTCGATCTCCTGACCTCGTGATCTGCCCGCCTCAGCCTCCCAAAGTGCTGGCTAATTTTTTAAAAAATATTTTTGGTAGAGACAGGGTTTCACCATGTTGACCAGGCTGGTCTTGAACTCCTGACCTCAAGTGATCCATCCGCCTTGGCCTCCCAAAGTGCTGGGATTACAGGTGTGAGCCACCACACCCGGTCCTAACACATCCATTTTCTCTCTAAGGAACATCAAAGCCTTTGAGCGCTTAGGAACACTACGCAGCACGTAGACACATCTGGGGGCCATTTTCCACAGTGAAACCACCAACACGAAACACAAAAATGCAAAAGCCGTGGCTCTAAATAGACTGTGAGGACATTTGTTTACAGTGTGATATGAGAGCTGAAACCAGAGGGAGAGGGTCACCTTTTTCAGCCTCCACTGAGAACGTGTGCGCCAAAGCTACCCAAACGTTTTGCAGGTCTGCCTATATCCGCGAATGACCCTAAATCACCTCAAGTATTGATTTTGGGATTAAAAAAATACGTTAGTAAGTAGGCACATTTGAAATGTGGAATCTTCGAATAAATACGATTGACTGAATTTGTTGGATTAAATCCATTTGAATGAGTTGTGGAAACTTGGACTACTTGTGTTCCTCTCTGGGTTTCATTTTCCTGAAACCCAGAAATCCTATTTCCTTTTTTGTTTTGTTTTGTTTTGTTTTTTGAGATGGAGTCTCGCTCCTGTCACCCAGGCTGGAGTGCAGTGGCACGATCTTGGCTCATAGCAACCTCTTTTTTTTTTTTTTTTTTTCTTGAGACGGAGGTCTTAGCTTCCTGTGCCCAGGCTGGAGTGCAAGTGTGCGACTGGCTTCAACTGAAAGCTCCGCCTCCTGGGTTCATGCCTAGTTCTTCTGCCTCAGCCACCCTGAGCTAGCTGGGACGTCACAGGCGCCCGCCACCACGCCCCAGCCTAACTTTTTGTATTTTTAGTGAGGACGAGGTCCACCGTGTTAGCCAGGATGGTTCTCGACTCCTGCCTCATGACCGCCTGCCTCAGCCTGCCCAAAGATGCGCGATTACAGGCGCGAGCCGGCTGCGCGCCTGGCCAGTCCGGGTGGCCAGGTTTAGCGTTCTCCTTGTCATCAGCCTCTGAGTAGCTGGGACCTCAGACGCAGCCATGTGCACGCCGGCGTAATGTTTTAACTATTTTACGGGTAGAGATGGGGTTTCACCATGTTGGCCAGGCTGGTCTTGAACTCCTGACCTCAGGTGATCCTCCCACCTCAGCCTCTCAAAGTGTTGGGATTACAGGGGTGAGCCACCATGCCCAACCAGAAATCCCATTTCCTGACCTGTCCCATGACTAGGTGATCTTTGATCCTTGAGCACTGAAATCCCAGGAACTGAGTGGGCATTGCCTTTTCTTTTACTCTGGCTTCCTGTGGTTGGTGCAGTCCTGACCACTGTCCTTTCCCTGCAGGTTTGTGGATTTCCATGCAGCTGCCTCCACCTGCTCACCCTCCCGGGCTTCCTTGCTCACTGGCCGACTTGGCCTTCGCAATGGAGTCACGCACAACTTTGCAGTCACCTCTGTGGGAGGCCTTCCGCTCAACGAAACCACCTTGGCAGAGGTGCTGCAGCAGGCGGGTTACATCACTGGGATGATAGGTAACTCTGGGCCCCGTCTGCCTGTTGCATTTACTGCAGTGGCAGTTGCCTTGTGTTTGCAAATCCCAAACATACTGCCTGTCTGCTCTCCTGTTCATGTCTTGCTATGTAAGTTAGGGATGCTCTCAGCTATAAGGAACTGAAAAGACCTAACAGTGAATTAAAACATACATGGAGCTATTTTCCTCCCATTACCGCAAGTTTCAAGGTAAGTGGTTGCTTTCATTAGCTCAGCTGCTCAAAGATGCTGCCGGGAGCCAGGTGCGCTCACTCGATCTTTCTGCTCTGCCGTCCTTAGCATGTAAGTGTTTTGTGTTTGTCCTCCTGCTTGCTGCCTCATGACTGCCATCCAGCAACTTTAGGCCCCTGAATCATGATTTGGCTCAAAGAAGGAAGAAGAGAAGGGAGGTGGCTCAGCTCTGCCCGTGCCCCAAGAATTGCACTTGCATCTTATTGGCCAGAGCTGGGTCTTTTGGCCACGCCTCACTGCTGCACTCCCAGATTGAGAAACTGGGGACAGCGTTGTAGTGACTGACTTGAACTTGGGCATGGTAATCTCCCTCCCTTTGAACAAAACCACAGTTCTATTAGCAGGATACACAGGACATGGGCATTGCTGGGAGACCAGCAATGTCTGCCATATTGTCCAATGACTTCCTCTCCTTTAAAACATTTTTAAGGCATCTCTTACTCAGCATTTATTATGTGCTAGGCACTGGGCTGAGTGTTTATTGGCATGAAGATGATTATCTCCCCCAGTGTATTGGCAAGAGAACTGAGTTGCAGACCGGTAAAGAGAAGTTGCCTAACCTGGAGGGGCGGAGGCCAGGTCTAGACAGGTATATCTGGTCCCAGCCTTGCCCTGAGGCTCTGCCTCACTGCCGTTCTCCCCTCCAAGAGCCAAGACAACCCAGTATTCCCAGAAGTACCCTCAGCTGCCTGCATTTGTTAGTGTAACTCTCAAAGAGCTGGGCCCCTTGGGATCCCTGCCTTCTCCACCATACAGGAAATTGCAAGGGAGGGAGGGTGCGACCACAAGCGGGTGGCCCTGTGGGCATGTCTTGGGTGTCTGAACCATGTGAACCTGCGGGGAGTTGTTCTACCCAGACCCAGGGCTGCTGCCTCTGCTATTGGCCCTTTTGTCCCACTCTGGGTTAAAGAGCCTGATATCCTTTTACGGAAGCTCAACCTGGAGTGTGGTATTCTTTGTCCCAGAAGGGGCAAGTCCCAGGCTGTAGGAGAGACCAATTAAGGTCCCACACTTCTCTTTTAGCAATCCCTTTCTTCCCATACCCCAAGGAGTCATTATGTTAATAACATCAACACCAGGACACCATTTGTAAAACTGCCACTGTGGGCTGACTCTCCTTACTAGGCCAGTTACACGGGTCCGTGTAAACCCCACAGCTGTCTGAACAAAGGGGCTCACACCTGTAATCCCAGCACTCTGGAAGGCTGACGTGGGAGGATCCCTGGAGCCCAGGAGTTCAAGACCAGCCTGGGCACCATAGTGAGACCCTGTATCTACAAATAAGTAAATAAATAATAAACCTCATAGCCAGGAAGGGTTTGGTCTCAGGGCTGTCCCAGACTCAGCCCCTATGCTGTAGGAGGGGGGCTGGCTTCTTCTGGAGCTGTTTTGACCTCACCGGCCCCTCCCTTTTCATGCTTTTAAACTCCAAGTAAGCAACTGTTTGCAGCTTGACTGTTTAGCTGCCATTCCTCACCCCCTCACCACTCACGACACCTTTTGCACATCCTGGGCAGGATATTTAAGCATATCCAGCTGTTGAAATTATGAACTAAAGTACACTTTTAGGAAAAATTAAAGACCCGCCAAAGGAATATCGATCCATTTACAACACTCACACTTTGCTTCTCATCTTGGTCCATGCGTCTCTGTGTTGCCTAGCTGTGCAAATACCGCTGGGCTCCACTTTTTCCCCCTTCACATTATTCTATGTTTCCGTGTAATATAATTTTACATATTATAATTTTTATGATTAAACAATACTTTTCATAATTTTAATATAAAGTCATGTTCCCATGTAATGTTTAATCCAAATATTTCACATAATGCTTAATCCATTTCTCTCAATTTTTTTTTTTTGTTTATTTGAGACAAAGTCTTACTCTTTCGCCCAGGCTGGAGTACAGTGGCTCAGTCTCTGCTCACTGCAACCCCCACTTCCCAGGTTCAAGTGATTCTCCTGCCTCAGCCTCCCAAGTAGCTGGGATTACAGACATGCACCACCACGCCCAGCTAATTTTTGTATTTTTAGTAGAGATAGGGTTTTGCCACGTTGCCCAAGCTAGTCTCAAACTCCTGGCCTCATGTGATCCGCCTGCCTCAGCCTCCCAAAGTGTTGGGATTATAGATGTGAGTCACTCAACTGAGAGAAATTGAGAGCTCATTTCTCTCAATTTTTTTATTAATCTTTTTTTTCAATCCAATAGAGCAGTTTCAGGGAGGGAATAATGGACTTCCAGAGGCACTTCATCCAGCTTCACCAATTCTTAATTTTTGCTACATGCATTTGCCTTGAAAAAATAGTTTGATAGTGTCTTATTGAGGCCACATCAAATAATGTACTTAGACATACTCCTGTGGTTGCCCGTTAATCTCTCTCGTTTGAGCGGTTTAATGCTGCCAGCGTCTCGATCTTTGTACCACATTCTTTTCTTTGCCTCCTCACCATGGGGGTGACGCCCCTGGGGTCTACTCCTCAGAGCGGAAGAGCAGATCAGAGATTTCTGACACTGTCAGAGCTCCTGCCACACATTACCCAATTATTCCCCCAGATTGAACGCATTTGCAGACCGAGGAGCAGCGGGGCATCTGAGTTTCCTCATTTGCTGCCCCGTAGGTGTCTCGGTGCTTGAACTGCGGGCTGCTGACGTTGGCTAGAGAGGAAGATGATGAAACCAGGCAGGAAGCGGACATTGCTGAGATGACGTGGGGCGGTGCACCTGCACCCTGGGCCGCCTGGTGTCTTTGCAGGGCCCCAGCGCAGGAGGGCAAAGTGAAGGGGGTGATGGCCCATATGGGGTTGCTGTGTCTGCGGAGCCCTCTTTGAGGGGCAGAGGCTTAGGCTTCTCTGGGCTCCTGGTGATGGGCTGTCTTCCCCTTTCACTGTGGTTTCCTGTGTGAGTCTGGAGTCATCCTTTATGTGTCCCTGTGGACAGCATCTCGGCCCCAGAGAGCAAAGCGTGGCTTGTATACTGCATTGCAGCCTCTCTTTGCTTGTCCACAGTGTAAGGCAAAGCCAATGGAGAGCTGAGTGTGTGATCAACTCCTCAGGGGGCCGTGGTACCCCTACGGGGATTCCTCTGAAAATCTCTCTTTTGTTTTTCTACAGGCAAATGGCATCTTGGACACCACGGCTCGTATCACCCCAACTTCCGTGGTAAGAATTCTTTTGGGGATTTGTTACCTGGGAACCAGAAAATAAAGGTCTCTGTGTAAGACTCCATGAACAGCTAAGCCATCCTGTCTCTGCGGGCAAACCTAAGTTAGGACATCTTTGTTCACAAAGTCATTTGGGTGCATTTGGGGTGCCAGGGCTCTCCAGGACCTTCCATCCCACTTGCTGACATCTTCTTTGGCTCCCCTTCCTTGGTGCCTGTCTGCCCTTCCAGCTGCCCCATCACAGGCCCAACAGCTTTTTTGCCATCTCTTGGTTCTTTACACCTCAGGGAACATTCTGCCCCATGAGGTCCAGACATGGCTAATCTGGGAAGAAGTAACAATTGACTGATGGGTTCACCGAAGCAGGAAACCTGGCCATAGACCCAAACAGGAGATGCTGCCTCTTGGCCTCTTCCTGCGGCCTTTGCTGCCTCACCCTCTGGCCTTGGGGAAGTAGGCCAAGATCAAGCTGCCAAAGCCGGTTCTCTGAAAATCACTTTGCTGAAGGGCGGATTCTCCAAACGTCCAATTCACTGAATTATTGATGGGTTTTCAAAGTTGCCGTTCGTGCCACTGTCCTTTTCCATTTCCTATGGGAAGCCGTGGACTTTCTCTTGAAGGCAGTTTACCATGATCTCAGCTTTGGTGGCTTCTCCTCTCCCTGGCCCCTTCCTCTTCTGCCATTTTATAAGCAAATGTGATTCTCTGACTATTTTGCAGACTTCTCCCCTCCCCTGCCCCAGTATCTCTCCCTATCTCTGTGAAAAATGGCTGAATTGTTCTGTCCTAGACCTGGCAGAAGGTTTTCATTGGAAGTTTTTTGCATTTGGAGAATGACTTTCAGAGGGTTGGCCTGGAGCCGGCCTTCAGCAGCTACCCACTGGTCAGCAACCCCATTGGCTGGCATCTTCTTCAACTCTTACCTCCTCTTTGATGCTTATTGCTCTCCCTCTCCTCCCTTGAGCCCCTTTTCCCAGTTGGGCATTCATGACATCATCCACATGTGCTTTAAAAAAAGTGGCAGGCTGGGCACAGCGGCTCAGGCCTGTAATCCCAGCACTTTGGGAGGCTGAGGCGGGCAGATCACAAGGTCAGTAGATGGACACCATCCTGGCTAACATGGTGAAACCCTGTCTCTACTAAAAATACAAAAAAACTAGCCTGGCATGGTGGCGGGCGCCTGTAGTCCCAGCTACTCGGGAGGCTGAGACAGAAGAATGGCGTGAACCCGGGAGGTGGAGCTTGCAGTGAGCCGAGATTGCGCCACTGCACTCCAGCCTGGGTGACAGAGCAAGACACCATCTCAAAAAAAAGAAAAAAAAAAAAAAAAGACAGATGGGGGAAGTGAAGACCTGGCTTTTGCACTCACTAAAAATTACTCCAGAACTTATTTCCTCCTTGGTCTTCAGTTTTTTCACTTGACAGTTGAGGGGTTGGACCAGATCAGGTGTTGGCACCTTGAGCGCGTATTCCTGTGGTGAGGGGATACTGAGACCAGCTCCTATGCAGCAGGAAGTGGTACCATGATGGATCTGGTGCCTGCTGCGGGTGTGGGAAGTGGGAAGAAAGAGTACCTCCTACCTATTTGCTGTCTTTGGACCAGACAATTCCAAAAAGCCTTCTGGCATGGACACTGAGGTTTCTTCATGTTCGTGTCCAAGTTCACTCCTCTTCCCTCCTGCCTCTTATGTCCTCTCTGTGGTGCACTGTCCTGGTTCCCCATCTCACTCTGTCTCCCAGGCTGGAGTGCAGTGGCATGATCTTGGCTCACTGCAACCTCTGCCTCCCAGGTTCAAGTGATTCTCGTGCCTCAGTCTCCCGAGTAGCTGGGACTACAGGCACCCGCCACCATACCCGGTTAATCTTTTGATTAAAAGGTTGGGTTGGAGAAGAGATAGAATGAAGGAGGAATTCAGAAAAAACTTCAGATGCCCTGGTTTATGCCAAGCACACTCACACATTCCTTCTAAGTACACATTCCTTCTAAGGCTCCTCTTGCTGCCCTGGGCTGTTCCTCAGGTCAGGGCTCCTGCAAACACAATGAGGTCTTTCTAGCACTGGGGTATGAGGATGCCTGTGATCTAGATCAGTGGTTGGCATAGACCTGTGGTCCAAATCCAGTATGCTGCCTGTTTTTGTAAATGCAACATTATTAGAAAACAGTAAGGCCAAGCACGGTGGCTCACGCCTGTAATCCCAGCACTTTGGGAGGCCGAGGTGGGTGGATCACCTGAGGTCAGGAGTTCGAGATCAGCCTGGCCAACATGGGGAACCCCTGTCTCTACTGAAAAAATAAAAAGTTAGCCTGGCATGGTGGCACATGCCTGTAATCCCAGCTACTTGGGAGGCTTAGGCAGGGGAACTGCTTGAACCCAGGAGGTGGAGGTTGCAGTAAGTCGAGATTGCACCACTGCAGCCTGGGTGGCAAAACTGAAACTCAGTCTCAAAAAAAAAAAAAAAAGAAAGAAAACAGCCAATATTTACAGTCATTTGTGTACATATTGTCTATGGGTAGGTTTGCGCTACAATGGCAGAGTTGAGTGACCTTACAGAAGTCATCTGACCCACAAAACCTAAGATGTTTACTGTTTGGCCCTTTCCAGCAAAAGTTTGCTGTCCCTGGTGGAGAGTCATCCTGACACCAAATACAGGAACATTTCAGGGCTATGTTGTGTACCTAAGGGGTAGCCAAATCCATTTGTACAAACCAAATTAACAGGAAGGTAGCATTTTTTAAAAAATACAGCAAACAGGGTGATCATGGTGGCTTACACCTGTAATCCCAGCACTTTGGGAGGCCGAGACAGGCGAATCACTTGAGGTCAGGAGTTCGAGACCAGCCTGGCCAACATGCTAAAACACTGTCTCAAAACAAAACAAAACAAAACAAAACAAAAAAACAGCCAATATGTCAATATGTACAGTCATTTGTGTACATATTGTCTATGGGTGGGTTTGCACTATAATAGCAGAGTTGAGTGGCCTTAACAGAGACCATCTGACCCACAAAACCTAAACTGGCTGGGCTCGGTGGCTCACACCTGTAATCCCAGCACTTTGGGAGGCCGAGGTGGGCAGACCCCATGGACCAACTAAGCCAGCCTGTCCTGATGTTCGAAATGCCAAACAGACCACAAACAGGATGTTGAAAAAACATTTAAATGAAATGGAAAATGCTATAATATTAACTATAGTAAGTGAAAAAAAAAATGCAGGAACAGTCCCATTAAACAGTAAGATCCTTAATGACCTTGTGGCCCTACCTTGTAGTCCTATTAACAAGACCAAAAGAGACGTGCCAAAATGTTTATCAAGGAACTTTTTTCTGTTGTGGGACCAGGGTTCATTTCTCTTTTTTTTTTTTTTTTTTTTTTGAATGGA